CTCTAAGCAGTCTGAGCTATTTGTAGGGAACACCACTAGAGTTTAAAGGCTTGGAACGTAGGTATGTATACTGCTCACCGGTAGTTAATAGAATAATAACTAACACGATAATATATCGTATTTATGAACTTATACATACTTACCTAGGAACCTACGTCATAACTCATAATATAGTAGGCTCAGAAAGGATGAAAGGATGAAAAATAAATACAGTGAAACCTCCTTTAACGGACACTTCCCAATAGCGGACAGCTCCAAATAACGGACGGAATTTTGGGAACGGTGAAATGTGTACTCACTGTATTTCCCCTCTTAATAGCGGACATCTGCAAATAGCGGACGACATTTAAACGACCGAGAGTGTCCGGTATTTAGAGGTTTCACTGTATTCATTTAAAGAGTGTCGTGTAACAACATGATTGATGTACAACATGCACTTCATAACACTAAATGTTATGAACTATGTTATGCAAAAGAAATAATATTAACAGAGGGCTTCAATCTGAATTTATAAAATTATTTGTCRAATATCTCCAAAGATGAAATTATGGGCTAAATTAAATTTCAAACTTAAAATAGRTATTTCGTCAAACATAATTAATTAGACAAAACAAATACTTTGCAATGAGCACAATAACCTGGTCAATATATCGATAACCGATATTAAAATTGAAGATTTCTATATCACTAAACTATGTTTTGAATGAATGTTAAGAAATTTACAGTCCCTAGCCATACTATTATTGCTTATAGTTTATTTTGTTATAGTATTATACTTATACATTAATATTATTGTAATATTTTCTATATTTAGATTTGTTTTAATATTGTATTGACAATAATAGGTACCTATATTGCATTTTTTTCCAAATATATACCTAGGAAAAGTATTATTTATATTGATTAAACAATTAAATTCTATCAATCACTATTCAAATGGTATTTTATATTCATAAGATTTATTATTGTTTTAATTTTAGAGTCAATACTGACTTAGGTAGAGAAACGGCGAGAAGTTCGTTGAATAAATAACCTAAAATTAATCAAAATATTTCAAAAATATCACTGTTTATACTGTAATAATAACATCACAACTTTAGACCCCGCAATTAATGTTTTTGAATTGTAGCAAGATAACTAAATTTGTTCTTATTCTTTAAAATTTCCAATTTTGTCAACCTTTTATTTTTAAATGAGCATGTGAGGAAAAATTGTAATACTATATTTTTTAGATTTTAAGTTTGAACTTATGAAGAATCATTTACTCAAAATTCAAGCCAAAACTATGTTATGGAACATTTTAAATTTTTATCCGTTTTTAAATAAGTAAATAATGATTTATAACTTTTAATAAGTTTAAAAAAAAAGTTTTTGCCAACACTTTAATTTCAAATGCATTTAATCTAACAAGACGTGTATTTTTATGATTATTTAAAATTGAAATTAAAAAAAAATGCAAGATGGGTCTTGTACGAACTTTTTAAGATTTTGCCTTATTCTAAATAGCTTTACTAACACATTCAAAAATATACCAAAAAGATCGAACATTTCAAATGCCTTTATAACTTTATAACTAGCTTAAATGTATTCAATAAAATTTTAAATAGAAAATTATACATTAAATAACAGTGGRATGTTTGAGCTTCTAAGATCAACACTTTTTTAATTACAATAAGTAAAACTAAAATTGTTTGGTGAAAAATCATTATTTTTATACTTGACCCAGATAGCAATTTCTCAACATTGAAGTTTCAATAACATTGAAACTAGACTACATTTCAAATATTATCATTTTAATCGTATTAAAATGTTTTATAAAGTTTAAAATAGTTATATTATTTTTTAAACATTTTCATACTATCACGATTTTGTTTTTTTTGTAATATTCAATTTGGAAGTATGCCTTAATATTATAATGCAATTTAATTATCAACGTAAAGTAACATTAT